TGCTAAGCTMTTGGACCTTCGGGCACCGAGCAATAATAGAGACTAAATTAAACTCGGAAAATTTGATCAAAGCAATAAACACATGGGCTGTGTCCTTGTTACGTTACTTTGCGGCATTCTTAGACTGGACAAAAGAAGAGATTCAAGACTTAAAACGTAATACCAGAAAGCTAATGACGATGCATAAAGCATTGCATCCAAAGAGTGATGTAGAAAGATTGTACTTAAAGAGAAAAGATGGTGGGAGAGGTCTGTTAAGTATTGAAGATACAGTTTCACTAGCGTGTATTGGTTTGATCAAATACATTGAGAAAAGTGAAGAACGAATAATAACAGCTGTTAAGGGTAATGATTTTTGTGATGGTGAAGATAAAAAGCAATTTAAAAAACGAAAACAACTGGAACTAATGACAAAATGGCACGACAAAGCTCTCCATGGGCAATTCATTCGACAAACTGAAGAATAGACAGGTAAAGACCAATGGCAATGGTTAAGATCTACTGGAATTAAAAGGGAGACTGAATCTTTGATAATGGCAGCTCAAGAACAAGCAATAAGAACTAATGCAATCAAAGCCAAGTCTCAGGAAGAAAGCAAAATGTAGGATGTGTGGAAAAGTTGATGAAACTATTAATCATTTATTATGTAAATGTAGTAAAATGGCCCAGCGAGAATACAAGAGAAGCCATGATTGGCTTGGAAAACGTGTTCACTGGGAGGTCTGTCGTAAAATTGGATTCGAAACAAAAGAAAAATGGTCTGAACATCAGCCAGAATCAGTCTATGAAAACGATGATTTTAAAGCTTTATGGGATTTCAACATTCAAACTGATCACGTGATAGAAGCAAGACGCCCTGATTTAGTTATCATTAATAAACAAGACAGAATGTGTCAAATAGTTGATTTTGCTGTTCCATATGATTCAAAAGTTAATTTAAAAGAAACTGAAAATATTCCAAAGTATCAAGATTCAGAAATTGTGGAACATGCGTGYAAAATTGATTCCAATAATAATTGGARCATTAGGAACAACACCCAAAAAGTTMGAAGAAAGATTGATGGAACTGGGTATCAAATGTGTCACTGGAGAATTGCCGAAAACTGTGAGCTACAATTTCTTCGTCAGTGATGTTATTATTCTTGCGAGAAATTGAATGCCTTTTCAAAAAGCTAGAAGGGTATCCGTTCTCAAGCAGAGCTGTKGTAAGATGTTTGTGCTCAGCTTGCTTCACATCACCACGGACAAAAGACTTTCTTTACGGTGGACTAGAGTTCGTTTTCGGTAGATTGATATTTTGATAGTRCCATCCTTAGACACCCTGTTAAGCGTGTCTAAAAAAGGCAGTCCACTATCAGAATATCGTTCAATGGTGTAGTCGATGTTTCCTTGTCCAGTTCTTATAGATGCTTGTGGAAGTCATCGATATTGTTCTTCTTTTTAACACAGATGGTATCATCGACATAACGTTTGAAGATTCTAGGCGGTCCAAAAAACGTCGAGAGAGCTCTAGATTCGATCACTTCCATGACAAGGTTTGCGACAACTACAGATATAGGTGACCCCATAGCTGTACCATGTATCTGCCTGTAGTACTTGTTATTATAACTGAATTCAGTGGAATATAGACAAAAAGACAATAGTGAGGTTATATAAGGCGTAGTCAAACCCCGTGTTCTATCATAGAGACTTGGATCCTGTTGTAGTCTATCATTGGCGGCAGTAACAGCTATATCAGTTGGTATAGAGGTGAACAATGACACAACGTCAAGTGAGACAAGTTCCTCGTCACTAGCTAATGTTAGAGTACTGGCTAATTTACTCTTGCTATTCTTAAGGTGTTGATCAGAGTTACCCACTAAGGGGGATATTATTTTGACCAGGTGCTTCGAGAGTTGGTAAGTAGGAGAACCCACATAACTTACAATGGGTCTTAGTGGTACATCGTCCTTATTTATTTTAGGCACGCCATACAATCTTGGGGTGTTGCCGTCTGTCGTAGATAACTGCTTGTAAGTTTCCTCGCCAAGACGATCCTTCATTTGCTATAACAGGTTTTTCATTTTGGTCTCACAAGATTTTGCTGGGTCATTTTTCAAAAGCACATAGGTTCTTGTATCATTCAAAATAGTCACATTATGAGAGATCTCCATTTATCTCCATTATGAAAAGATCTTCAACGTTACTAAATTCAGAAAAAAATGTCACGCTAGTAATACATATTATTGATTATCGATACAACACAAATTCCTGCTTTTCTTGAAACATTTTTGAAGTAAAAAAAKATTTAGACGTTTCTGCTTCTTATAGAGTGGCAAAGTTGTGTCCTTCGCAAAGTTGTATATTTTTCGGACTATCTCTGGCGTGACATTTTGCATTCCTGAGATGCCGAGGGGACACCGGTTTGGTCAGCTCATGGTGCGAAAGTAAAAGTTTGAACTTCGGGACCGATTTATTTCTGTTCTGTTTTAGCTGTGATTTTGATATTTCATGAGGGAATGAAGCTGTGTTTATCTGCGGTTAATTTCCCAAAATTTCAAGAGCTTGGCGCGATTTTTTTCGACCCGATTTTGAGGTTTAAGTGAGTCGAATTGGCKATTTTGGCGAGTTCGGCGGCCTCGAGTTGCCAGCCTTGTGGGGATTTACTTCACTGGGACTCGCGATCATTTATCCATGAAAAACGCATCGCACGGCAAAAAGAACCACAAATCCACACTCAGAAAGCATTTTAAAAAGTGTATTTCTAATTTCTAAACTAAAAAACCAGAATATAACCCCCCAAAATAACCAAAATATCGATGTTGAAAATGGCCTAATTTGAAAAGATTTCAACGGCTTTCGGCCGATAATCGCCATAGGAGGCCTGGAGCCGACTCTTCTCGATAGTCTGGTAAGCCTGTGGTTTTCTTTGTTAACATATTGCACTAAATGGTCCTATACGGTGCGTACTGGGTTTTTTTAGTGTACTGTTTTTTTAGTGCAATATGTTGCGCAAATGCGCATTTTATTGTTTRTATGGGTTTTTTTCTTGAAAATATTGATGTTGTTCGGCACTGCTGAACATCAATATATTGTGAAGAACAAAATCTGTTAGGGACTGCGCAATATTTCTCAGGAGGGGGGKGATTGAGARTCCAGAGATGAGGAGCTAAATCTAATTTTATGTGTTTAAAGAGGGGGGCCAACGTCTAAAGTTAACTAGAACTTTAATTTGAAAAAATCAAGGGTGTCAGATTCTTCGCTTTTTTGGCCAAATACTTATTGAAGTGGAAAACTTCTCAAGAAAAGCGTGACACGATTTGAGAAAACTCTTCATGAATAGTAAATATCAAGAGAAAATGAGGTAAGAGAAGGAATCCCTGGTACTGCGTTCTTAACCCATCATATCAGCCCTTCGTTCTATTTTTAGAAAAAGAGCTATTTTTAGAAATGGAACATGATTGGTCAGATCGTATGAGGCGAGGTCGCTCAGCCGTTTGTGGTAAGACCCGAGAAAATAATTCAAAATGGAGGTCGAGAGAGAGATTACTTTTGTGAACGAAAACGATTTGATATTAAGCGGTAAATGCAGAGGAAGAAGGAGAAAGCAGTGGTTTTAGTTTATAAATGGTGAAAGTGTCGGGCAGGGTCACGAAGATACTGATACGTCTGAAATTGAAGACACCTATGAATCATGTGAAAGTGATGTGCTTTCGTCGAGTGATGTGTCTTCGAGTGAAGTCGTAGAAGAAGAAGAAGAAGAAGAAGAAGAAGAAGAAGACGACGACGACGACGACGAAGAAGAAGAAGAAGAGTTAGAAGAAGAAGAAGAAGCATCCTCGCATTCATACGGTTCCAGTATTTGACATTCAGTTTTTGGCGATGAAAAATAGCCGATATCAAATTCCGATAAACGAGTAGTGGTCGCGCGGGCTTGGTAACAAACTAAAAATAGTTCTTTTTCTAAAAATAGAACGAAGGGCTGGTATGATGGGTACCAGGGATTCCTTCTCTTACCTCATTTTCTCTTGTAAATAGTAAATAAATAAATTTAGGGGGGGCAAGCGTAATTTATTTCGTTTGCGAGGGGGGTAGCAATTACCTTTTTTGTCTTTTTGGCTCATTTCTATTGCGCAGTCTCCTATGACTATCTGAGGTCTTGCCGCTAAGAGCAGAAGCAATATTAGACTTCAGTTTATTATCCACAATGCTTCTTGTTTGTTGAGATGTTGGAGAGGAGCGAGACGTGTTAGAAAGACTATTTCCAGATTTAATAATGAGATGTTTTAATAGTGGTTTGTAATAATACCAATATACCGTTCAAGAAAAATGTAATTTACCTCASGGAATAAAGAAAATTCGTAGAAACCGTCCATTATAAAGCTTTCTTTTGTCCAAACACCGTACAGGTGCTCATTCACCGGGGAKTACGCATATCAATATTACATCTTAAACATAGAAAACCACATTCCACGGGCGAATAATTATATCCTTTGTTTTAGGGTGCAAGGATTTCGAAAATACCGATARAGCAGAAAGGTCTAGGAACTTTGACAAAGGATTTCTCATTAATATCTATTGTGTATTCTTCCAACATGGCCGCCGGTCTTTTATCTTTTGAATTTCATGGGAACGGGTGAAAGCGATCAATATAATGTATATATATCAGAGTTCTTTCTTATTGTTTTTTTATTGCTTTTTTTCTATATACCTTTGTGTATAAGAATGATTTGTACTTATCTTAATAGTTTTGATTGCCCAATTTTTTCCGRTCAATATATTTTTAAGGATAAGTTGCAAAACATGTTTTAGTCATTTTATATTGTAAAAGATATACACCTTTTTTGTGATTTCGTATGGTGAGCCATTCGCCTGGTGGTGTGATTCCCAATAAAAGTAATGATTTAAGAATACATCACCGCCATGGTACGCCACTGTAGAGGGGTCTGCAGACATGACTCGAAAGTGTCTTGTTTTTAAGATGTCACGATAGTGGGTAACATTAACTTTGTATTTAACAGTTAAAAATTATTGGCACGTTGCATCAACGTCAGGAGATGTTCCTCTTGGTMGGCGTAGTCACACGACAGGTAAACATATGAAATTTTCAAGGTGAATTCTAACCTAATATAAGGGATAATCCCTGTCAATTGCCCTTCTCCATTTTAACTTTTTCTGAAATCGATGTGTATATACTGTAGCTATCAACCTGTCAGATTTTAAAAGATATCTAAAACAATAAACATTTTCTGGGAAGTTGACGGCAAAATCTCGGTTTATAGATCCACAGAACACCATTTTTTGTTTCTTTTATTTTCGTTAACCTTGTCCTTGCGTTCCTTGTGATCCTGGGTAGCTTGATTTYTTATCTTTTTCTAGTATTGTGTGGTAAATTTATCTACATGTTCGGAGGCTACAATGGCTTAGAAAAGAAACATTACAATGAAATATACCGTCTTGATACAACAACTCATGTTTGGAGTAAAGTGCCTACATACGGAAAAGGACCATGTCCAAGGCGAAGGCACTGTTGTTGTATGGTTGGAACGACTGCTTTAATATTTGGTGGAACAAGGTGAATACAAAAGACGAATAATAAAGCTTTAACACTAACGGTTGATACATCGTTAACATGAATAGTCTTGTAACGTTTTTTTTTTAAATAATTTTACTTGTTTTCCTTCTATAGTCCTGTTGCGGATGCTACAACAGACGATGAGTTTAGTCTCCAAGATCACTCTGACCTTTATGTTCTGGACTTCAGTAAGTAGAGTATGTTAAACAAGTCACGCTTCCTAAGTTATACTAATAAAGCAGCTATGACTGTATGCCTTTCGACCTGCTTTAGGACACGCCWTGAAAGATATATATATTATTTACCGACTGGGAGGTCCGTATAGGAAACTGMCCAAGGTCTTGAGAGTACATAAAAGACCGAGGGCAGTATTTTCCTATACGAACCGACCTATAGCCGGTAAATAACMATTTTATTTTTGTATTTRTATYCTCTGCAACTTTGCTCGCAACCTTGCTGCAGGATACTGTTGACCGGGCAGATCGTGAATCAAGCTGCCAATGCAGGCCAATGGCAACATAACTCGAAGATTCGGAACAATGAATCAAATATATTTTAAGTAAACGATTTACGAATATTTTTTTTTTTCGTTAAAATCTTATTATTTTAAATTCGGTTATGGATAAGTTGCCTTCGTAAAGCAGACGTCCCAAGCGGTTCGATTCTCCTGCTTACAGAGGTTAGCGAGCGTCGGCGAAATAAATGCCAGTCTTAGCCATTATAGTATTTAATATGCCATCGTATAGCTCAGTGGATAAACCGTGGTCGTTGCTTGCAGACGGCCCCGGTTCGAGTCCCAGGTAAATAATTTTTTTTATTTCTTTTTTTATTATACAGCCTTTTGCAAAAATTATGAGAATTGTCGAAATATCTAAATATCATAATATCCATATCCATATATTGTCCGGAACACTCGGGTTTGCTAGAATAATTCATTGTTGACATCAAGAAAATGTTCAGAACTACAGATATGTCAGTCGCCAAAAAAAAA